TGTAGGACTTCTGTTCAGCTAGACTACAGATGACTCTCAATGATGGTCATTCTGTAGCTTAGTTGTAATTTTGATGTGGTTGTGAGAGGAGTCAAGCACAATATTTATGTACTCTGCTATCTTCACTCATTTTCAGCTACACATATTTGTTAATTCCACTATCATTTTTCTTTGACCCATCAGTTGTTTCACAGAATGTGTCTTGGTTTTGAAACATACAGAAATTTTGTAGTTATTTTTAGTTATTGATTTGTAACTTATTTGCATTATGATCAGATTTCAATTTTTAAAAATGTGTCTTGACTTGCTTTTAGCGTAGTATATGGTCAAATTTTATAAACATTCTGTATGCATGTTATATAGTTATTTGTTGCAGTGTTCTATACATTTGCTATTAGCTCAAGTTATTAATTATATTGTTCAAAAATTCTGTATCCTTACAAACATTTTTTTGTCTCCTTGATCAACTGCTAAGAGAGACATGGTAAGACCTCCCACTCTGATTATATATTTGTCTATTTCTTCTTTTGGTAAATTAATTTTCCTTTATATATTTCAAGATAATGTTATAAATACAGAGACATTACTGCTGAATTGAACCTTTTATCATTATGAAATAACCGTCTATATTTCTAATAATGCCCTTTGATTTTAAGTGTATTTTGTCTGCTATGAATATAGCTATACAAGTTTTCTATCACTTATATATTACGTTTTATCTCTCTCCATCTTTATACTGTCAAGTTATTAGTATCATTGCTTTTTAGATTTGTCTCTTAAAAAGCATAGGGGGGTATTTCTTAATTCCATTTGACATTTTTTTTTAATTTGAGTGTTTAACTCATAAACATTTAATAAAATTATTGATATATTTGGGTTTCAAGCTATCATTTTATTTTGTGCTTGTATTGGTCCCACCTATGTTTCTTTCACTTCTTTTTTGACTTTTTTTTTAACCCATTTCCCATTTGCCTGAGAATACTCACCAGCAGTGCTTGCAGCTGCAGCATTTACCCTGAGATAACTCGCAGATTGCAGTCCTAACCTTATGCCCAAAGTTTGCCACGAAATATCTTGCTTTTATTATTTTCACATTGCTCTGCTATATGGATAGCCTTTGGAAACAAATGACGTCACTTGATTTGGAGCATTCTATTTTTAGTAGTGGTGTTTCCATTTACACAATATAGTAATTCTCAATTGCTGAAGCTGTCAAATCCTAGAAACTGTAGCATTCCTACATGATGTTAACATCATTCTCAAACAGTTGTTAGTCTAAGATTCATTTGATGAATCCAATTTATGTATACATTTCTGTTACGTTAGGATTAGAAACATGTTCTATTTAGAAATAACTCCATGGACAGTTTTTATATTTTATTTTCATAATGAAAAACTAGTCAGATTTGCTTCAGCCTCAAAGAGTGTGTTTACGTAAAATTAAATTAACACTGGCAGTGAGCTGTAGTTTTTTTTTTCCCTAAACAAGAAATGAGTTAATTGAAAAATTTTTTAAATTATTCAATTATTTTCCTTCTCTACTAGCTTAGAAGTTTACGTCCTATTGCTCTTATTTTAATAGCTACATCCTATTAATTCATACATATTGATTTACCTTATCAAAATATAAATTTCATAAATACCTAAATCAATTCCAATATGATACAAGGCCCTTAGAAAAGTTTAACTCCTTTTATGCCCTTCCTGACGTCTTTTCTTATTGTACAGTACTTGAAGTTTATTTAAAAAAAATAGAATAGATGTTTTTATGGTTCTTTCTTCCATCAAATTTCACTTACATTGCTCATATACTATTACCTTTCTTGCTCTTCATTCTTTCCAGCATTTTGTTCTTCTAAGATCATTTCTTCCTGAAGTACATCCTTTAGAATTTCCATTAGTTGTCTCCTGGTGACAAACTCTCTTAGTATTTGTTTGTCTAAAAATATCTTTATTTTAACCTCTTGTTGAATATTTTCATGAAAGATGCCACCCTTGGGATCCTTAGTGTGAGTAGGGTCATCCATAAGCACCCCCGTCTGGGCTTTGACTCCCAAAGAACCAAAGCCCTAGAATGAAGTGCCTGCATGCCTTCAGCTCCTCCAGTGGGAGAACAATGTCTGTCTTAACAGGGTTGCTGGAGATAATTAAATGAGATAACCGATAGAAAATTCTTGGCACAGAGAAGGAAGGCAGCCAAAGCTAGCTCTTTTTCTTTCAACTGAAAGCTTTAGTTCTTAGCCTCCAGGTTTTTAAAGTTTATGCTTTTACAATTGGAGAATAAAATGTGGCCTCCTTAGAGCTACCAAAGCCTGAATCTTTGCAATCAGAAGTGTTCACCAAAACCCCAAAACATGAGGCCAGAGATAAGGGATGCTCCTCCCAGCTCTGCATGAAAAGACCTTCTTTGTTCTAATGACCCAACCCAGCCATCTGATATACAATCCATTTCCTTTTGACATTTTTGTCAGAACTCTAATGTCTAGTCTTTGTCTTTTTCAATACCATCAGGTCCAACTGCAGATCACCTGATTTGATGGTGAAGCCATATAAATTCAGAACAAGAGTCTGTTTAGAAGCCAGAGTCAGATGTCATAGTACTGGGGAGATGAAGGAAGAGTCCGGAGGTAACCCATAAGCTACTGGCAGCATTGTCCTCGACTCTGCTAGGTGACCAGTCTGCCTTCTCTCTACTTCCACCACTCTCCACCCTCCACCATCTCCTCATTCTTCCATCCACAATCTTGAGACGGAAGGTGCTTCATCTCCAAGTTTGGATTATCTACTCTAAGGATATCTAAGTATTGGGGTTAGAAATAAGAAATCAGAAAGGAGTAGGCGAAGTACCTTGGCCGGCTAAAGATGAACCCAGCCAAAGGGCATTAGATTGTTCACTTGCTTCCAAGCATCAGCAGTCAGGAATATGTAATAACAACTCTACACTTGGACAGTACACTTGTTCAGTGCATGACAGTACCCTCTAACCCTAAAAGCCCCACAGGAACTTCCTAGCCAACTCCATACAAGGGAAAGAAGACATGCTTTCCCAGAACCAGAAGGAAGGGAAAATTGAGTGTTATGGTTTGGATTGTGTTCCTCCAAAGTTCATCCGTGGAAGCCCTAACCCTCAGTATCTCAGAATGTGACTATATTTGAGGGCAGAGTCTTTAAAGAGGTGACTAAGTGAAAATGAGGCCATTAGGGTGGGTCTTAATACAATCTGACTGGGATCCATATAAGAAGAGGAAATTTGGACGTCAAGAGTGGGCACAAAGAGGGATGACCCTGTGAAGAGGCAGTAAGAGGGTGGCCATCTGCAAGCCAAGGAGAGAAGCCTCAGGAGAAATCAAATCTGTGGGAACCTTGAATTGGACTTCTAGCCTCCAGAACTCTGAGCAAATGAATTCCTGTTGTTTAAGTTCCCAAGTCTGTGGTACTTTGTCATGTCAGCTCGAGGTGACATGGAACCAGACTTCATGGCACATTCAGTTCAGACAGCTCTGCATGCTATTTTCATGGACATACTTCTTCTCTGGGGCCAGTGAAGCCAAGTCCAACACAGGTGAAGTGCCTTCAAGAGCTTACAGAAAAACCACCTATTATACCCATCTTTGAGTCAGAAAATGGAGAGCTATGTCACAACAGGGAGCTGTGGTTCAGTGCTTTAGTCAAACGTGTCTCATTTCTCACACTCCTTCCTCAAGTATAAATTGAAGGAGGAAGGTATTAATGAAGAAAGATTATGGGGGGGGTTAACTATTACTGGGCCGCCGACCCATTTAAAAATCCACAAAGCTATGGATTCAGAAAAATAGAGAGTCTATATTGGTTTTCTATGGCTGCAGTAATAAATTACCACAAACTTGGTGGCTGAAAACAAGATAAATTTATTTTCTCATAAGTTTTGGAGGCCAGAAGTTCAGGATCGGTTTCTCTGGGCTGAATTCAAGCTGTGGACAGGGCTGTACTCTGTTCCTTGCAGTTTCTGGTAGCTGTCAGCATTCCTTAGCATGTGGCTGCATTACTCCAATCTTTGCCTTTGTCTTTACAGCACTTCTCTTTTTTCTGTGTGTATCAGAACACTTATAAGGACATTTATGATTGGATTTAGGGACCACTCAGATAATCCAGGATAATCTCCCCAGTCAAGATCCTTAATTTAATCATATCTGCAAAGACAGGTTCCAGAGATTAGAACTTGATATATTTGGGTAGCCACTATTTAACCTCTAAAAGAATCCAAGCTTTTTTCATACAATTTCAGGAAGATCATGGACCTAGGTAAGAACATCTGCTCTGGAGATGCTTTTCATCAAAGGTATGTGGTAAATAGATACACTGAAAGCAGGTCCATTTGCTCATTCACCATCTTCTCTATACCTCAGAATCAACCACAGTGCTGGTTAAAAATCCAAATTCCAAACTCCAAAATCACATCCCCAGGCCTATTCCTAAATCAGAATCTCTCAGAGTCCAAACCCAGGATTCTACATTTCTAACAAGCTCCCCAAAATAATTCTGATGCGGCCAGCCTTGCACCCATACTTTAATGAATAATTGATTAACAGTCTGGATGCTTAAGTCCTCTCACTGTTAAATGGACATACTGCCACCTCCTTCACAGTAAAAGAGATGTCTGTGCAAGCTTATTTGCACAAAGAAAGCGATTATATTCTTTTTTTTTTCTCCCTTATTCCTATACAAAGGTGAAGTACTTTTATTGTTTATTTGCTTTCTGTCCCACCTCATGCTTAATGCACCTGGCCTCGAGGCGCAGTCTTGATACAAGGAAGAAAGGGAAAAGGGAAGAGCCGCAAACTCTTGCAGTTGGTGCAACCGAGATGCACTTGACGCTTCGCGGACCTGAGCTTCCTCCGCCCCTTCCATAGCCCCCGCCTTGGGGATAATTTGCATGGAGCCGGAGGCTAGCGGAGAGCCCGCCCGCCCGCCCGCCTCGCTGATTGGCTGAGCTGGCCAGTGCGTCAAGCTCTTTTGTCTCAGAGGATCAAAGCAACCACGGCTGCCTTGGGAACCGTGCTGCCTAGACTCCGCTCTCCCTCGCTGGGCAGACTTGCTGAGCAGCTCAGTCTGGCAGCCCCCAGTTGCTTAGCGGCCAGGGAGGCTCCCGTCCTTTTCTCTTGCAGGGCTGAGGAGACCGAAGGAGGCATCCGCAGCCGTCACACCGAAAGGTCTGCAACGCACAGGCTGAGCACAGGTAAAGAAAGGGAGTGCGATTGCCCAGCTCGGAGACACGAGGGGAAGCCCCACCAGTACTCGGCGGCTTCCTGCTTGGAAAATCGAGAACTGTGAGGCAGGGCAAGGAGCACTCCCAAGGCCCGGCTACGCTGAGGGAGGAGGTGGGGTGCCACTGGATGCTGCCCAATGGGTAGGATTTGCCTGGATTGAAAAGGGGGCGTTTTCAGGGGGCGGGGTGAAGGAGAGAATCTCTGGCTGTCTGCCTTGAACCCTCTTTGCATCTCCTCATCTCTTACTGGGGAGGAATATGTGGGTGTGCGCGTCCAACTCCTATTCCCTTTCTCGGTGGCAGGCCATCAAAACCGAATGTGAACTTGAATTCTGTGTGGCTGATTGCAGAGCTGGTAGGCTGACGGTTTCCTGGGGGAAATGTAATGGGGCGAGGGTCGCTTTAGCTTGTATTCAGAAGGTGGGAGAGGGAATTTTCCGCCTGCCTACCGCGCAAGCAGCGAGAGGTGGGGGTTCGGGGGTGAGGTGGGGAGGGAGGGAGAGGGATAAGGCTGCTTCTGACCTTTCGTTTCCTTGCCCTGACCTCCGCGGCGGCGCAATCTTGATGCCTTGAGGTCCCAGATCACCGACCCCCGGTGGACAGAGATCAGCTGTACTCTGGAGACAGTTTTCTCACGGAGGCCACCAGTTGCAGAAGCTGGAATAAAATAAAGGCACGCGCTTGTTCCAGAGCTCATGTAAGAATCTGAGAGATAAGTGGGGAGACACTTTGAGAAGGGGGCGTGGTTGAGGCCTGAGACCATGTGGTTAATGAGATCGCACTTATTCCCACAAATATGTGACTGTGCTCTATTTTGAGAGCCCAACATCAACTTTATACACTATTATACTTAGAATTAGAAGCAACAGTTGCCATCCCTCTTGAAGGACTGGCGGGAGGGATGGATGTGGCTGTCGAAAGCTCCCTGCTAACACGGAGGCACCGGCTGGCTCCGTGAGGTGGTAATTGCCAGTCTCCTGGAGGATATTTTTAGGGCGGTGGGCAGATATAAAATATACTGAAGGATATTCGGGAAGGGAGAGAAAACAAGTGCAGCCTCGTTACCCACCCTCCTTAAAAAAAAAAAAACCTTCTGTTATTTTTTTTTTTCTTTTTTACAGTCGCTACTGAGATAGGAGGAAGGCAGAGAGCCCTCCTGCACGCCTGCAGATTAGGCTTTTCCAAAAAGCCTGACCATCTCGTTATATTCAGATACCCGATCATCGTAGGTCATGGCTAGTATTATTGCACGCGTGGGTAACAGCCGGCGGCAGAACTCACCCTTGCCGCCATGGGCCCATTCTATGCTGAGGTCCCTGGGGAGGAGTCTTGGTCCTTTGATAGCCAACATGGCAGAGAGAAACATGAAGTTGTTCTCCGGGAGGATGGTGCCCGCCCAGGGGGAAGAAACCTTTGAAAACTGGCTGATTCAAGTCAATGGGGTCCTGCCAAATTGGAATATGTCGGAGGAGGAAAAGCTCAAGCGCTTGCTGAAAACCCTTAGGGGCCCCGCCCGGGAGGTGATGCGTTTGCTCCAGGCGGCCAACCCCAACCTAAGTGTGGCAGATTTCTTGCACGCAATGAAATTGGTGTTTGGGGAGTCTGAAAGCAGTGTGACTGCTCATGGTAAATTTTTTAACACCCTGCAGGCACAAGGAGAGAAAGCCTCCCTTTACGTGATCCGTTTAGAGGTGCAGCTCCAGAACGCTGTTCAGGCAGGGATTATAGCTGAGAAAGATGCAAATCAGACTCGCCTGCACCAACTCCTTTTAGGGGCTGAGCTGAATGGAGGCCTGCGCTACAGGCTGAAGCATCTTCTCAGGATGTATGCAAATGAACAGGAGCGTCTTCCCAATTTCCTGGAGTTAATCAGAATGATAAGGGAGGAAGAGGATTGGGATGACACTTTTATTAAATGGAAGCGGGCCAAAAGATCTGAGTCAATGGTGGAGAGGGCAACCAGCCCAGTGGCATTTCAGGGCTCCCTACCAATAGTGATCAGCAGTGCTGATTGCAACGTGATAGAGATAGATGATACTCTCAATGACTCAGATGAGGATGTGATTCTGGTGGAGGCTCAGGACCCTCCACTTTCATTCTCGGGTTCTCCCCCCAGACACAGGGCCAGACCTCGGGATCCAGTACTAGTCATTGATTCCCCCCACAGTTCCCAAGCTCAACCTCCTTCCACCAGTGGGGGTTCTGGCTATAAGAATGATGGTCCTGGGGATATGCGTAGAGCCAGGAAGAGAAAATACACAATCCGCTGTTCACATTGTGGTGAGGTGGGCCACTCAAAGGAAACCTGCGACAATGAAAGCAACAAGGCCCAGGTGTTTGAGAATCTGATCGTCACCCTGCAGGAGCTGACACATACTGAGGAAGAGGGGTCAAGAGAGGCCTCTGATGAACCCAATGACAGTGAGGTGCTAGCCCCCAGCCTCAAATAAACCTTAAGCTATATTCAGAGTCCAGCGACGGGAAAGCTGGATGGGGTGGGGGTTGGTGCTTCTAATTGCATGACTTAATCCACAAAGCGGCTTTCTTTCAGGGTGGAGGAAAAAGGGTCTTGGATACCAGCACAGTGGAGGGAAATGGCCTGACCTCTGTCCCTGCTCCCCCACCCCCACCCCTGCTGCCTAAGGGTCTGTTTCCTGTGTGTGCCCATTTCCTTGTCGACTTTATTCTCTTTGTGAAAGTGGTATATTTCATTGTTAAATCTTCAAACAATAAAGTACAAAAAAGTAAAGTACAAGTTATCCCAAACTCTCTACCCTTATATAACCATTGTCAACCCTTTGGTGAATGTCCTTCTAGATATTTCCCTATACTTATATACCCAGACAGATATATGTACAAAGAAAAGTGATCAAATATAAGTGCTGTTCTATAGTCTGTATTTTTTCACTAAACAACATATGTTGTAGACTTCTTTCTATGTCAATAAATATATAACAGCATCTATTTTAATGTCTTTGTGGTATTTTAAGAAGTAAATGAAAAGGGAATAAGAGAAATATAGTAAAAAGCTAAAAAGGGGTGAGGTTGTATCTCAGGGTGGGGTTTTTAGCAACCTCATTTGGCAGATGAGGAAAAGGGAAGAAGAATGAGCTGAAATATTCCCCAAAGGTAAATGGACAGAGCTCCTTACTATAACCGACCTGTCCCTTATGTCATAGAGCCAAACTATGACACCCACTAGTTGACAATGCCCCAACGCTTTCTTCTCTAATGTATCCAGAGGAGTCTGATGTCTGGGGAGTCTGGTGCTGAGGTTACAGCTCAAAATAGGGGATTCCAGGAGCTCTATTCCCGGTCTATTTGGAGAGGAGTAGCTCTCTCTCCTCTGGGTGGATTTCTTAGATTGTTGCCAGGAATCTCTCTTGTGGGTTGAAACTGCCCTCTCCCCACTCCTCAGTTAAGGAAAGGAGAGTCTCAGCTGATGGTTCCAGAGCCTGACCCCGTAAGCCCTGAAGCTACATGCTGGAGGCCACAGGCAGCCCAGGACTCCAAGTCAACCCCACCCCAACCTGAGAATTGAGACTAGCTGGGGAGGGATGAAAAGCAGCCTAGTGGCCAGGACACGTGAAGGAACATAGGGATTAGAAATCCAGAGAGCCCTATACACCATTTTTCAGAGTGGAGGGCATTTATGGGAGAGGGAGGAAGAAAAGGACCTTCTTAGGAACCTTCCCTGTCCCCTCTCCTGAACTCATATTGGAGGGTGATAAAAAAGAGGACATGTGTGACCTAAGGATCTGTGGGTTCCTATGTCTCTTGTAGGTCCAAAGTCCCTATCTCTGTGAGGACAAGGCTGGGGGCATGAGAGTGATTGCATTTAAGGCAGGGAGTGGGGAGTGAATTGAATATGCAGACTGGAGGACTTGAAGGAGTTTGTCATACAGGAAATTGCTGCTTCACAGAGCTGAGAGGACAGAGTGTGCAGCAGTGGGGAGATAGTGCATCAGGGGAGAAACAGAACTGTGTGGGTAAGGGGAAAGCAAATGATGACCTGGTAGACTCACACGAAGTTTGACAGAGACAGGAACACTGGTAGCAAATGCAGATTCTAGGGTTTCATATAGAACTCTGGACTGTGTCGTATCAGGAATGGCACAGATTGAGGGGCCCATGGAGAGGTATTGGGGTTCTAATCATGCTAGCAGTTGATGTGCCACTCATAGGGACAAAGGGCCCTGAGGGAGGGGGAGTAGCCAGGTATTGTAAGAAGCTGGTGCAGCCTTCCCTGGGCTGCCATATCCAGAACCTGTCTTGAAGTGCTTCTCTTTCCAGAAACAGCCTCTCAGCTCCTCCCTGGCTTCTTGCTTCTGCTCCATCTATGATCCCACAATCTGATCTTACAACTCCTTCTCCCCACAAGCCACACTCATCTCTTAGTGGAGGGGGAATGGAGGTTTCACTTTCTGTGCTCTATCACCCCTCTCCATCCCCACATTCTTTAGCCTCCTTAACCCTCATGGACAGGAGACTCGGAGGGCCTCTCTGCCTCAGATCCTTTAGCTGAGAACTTCCCAGGAGCAAAGACTCGAGGCCACTCCTTGCATCTATATCCAGGGCACCAAAGGAGTCCCTTCCGAACCCCCAGAGAAGAGGCGTCTCCACTCAGGGCCCCAAAGCCACAGACCCCCTCCCCCAATACTTCTTAGCTCACATAGGTTTTAACCCTAAGTCTTCTCTGCCCTACCCTAAATCTACTGTTATGAAGTATCTATCTCCCTCATCTAGTCCAGGTTAGAATATCATTTTACTTTCTGCTTATCTTTTCTTAATTTTACTCTATAAACATTTGTTCAATATTTGCCCAAAGACACAGTTTAAGCTGCTAAAATTTCTTTCTGGCACTAGGTAGAATAGAAAAATGAAATGAAAAATAAAGAACTTCTGTCCATCCCACTACCCTCCTTTTCGTTGGTGTCAGCTTGGGGCTCCAGTATAGACCACTGCTTTGAAAATCTGTTCTGTGATTCATCCTGTTTCCTTCCTTTCCCACTGTCCTCTCTGTTGTGTGAATTTGAGATTGTCTAAATTTTTATTTCACCAACCTGATGTACCCTGACATTTTTTAAAAATTTGTGTGGCACTGGCTTTTCTTTTACTCAAGAATTATTTCTCCCTAATTAGAAGGCATGGAACCAATACCAGGACATTCATATCAGACTAATGGGGTTAGCCTAAAAAGGGCTTCATTTTAAATTATGGGTTTATTTTCTTCCTTTCTTTTGTCAGAAGAAACTGGTCTCTGAGTGCCCTTTTGCATTCTATTTCCTTCCTTCCTGCATTCTTTCCACTTGGTTTCCTTGACACCCTTCTCTTATGTTCCCCACTCCCTGACCTTTTTGATACCCACTTCTTAGTCTCCTTTGCTGAATCGTCTTCCTATTCCAGATCCTTCCATAATAGTCATAAAAATAAAAATCATTACAACTATGATTTATTAACAGCTTACTGTGTGCCAGGCACCCTGTACCAAGTTCTTTAAATGTGTTAGCTCCTTTTATCCTCCTATCAGCCCTATAAGAGAGGTATTACTATTAGCACATATTTCAGATGAATAAACAGGCTGGGAAGTAAAGAAACTTGCTTAAGGTCATGCAACTAGTTAGTGGTGGAACCAGAGGTCAGACTCCTGGGTAGAAGTCAAAACTTCTTACATGTCTTAGCTCTCATATGTTCATTTACAGCACCCTACTGTTACCGAACTCAAGGGGTTTACTGCTTTGGGTGTTCTGGTCAAGACCAAGACATGGTTGTCTTTAGGCAGTTTCATTTAGTTGCAGCAAGTAAAGCAGACAGGGGATTTACATCCAAAACTGTCTCCCTAAGGTGGGGCTTAGCCATTGCTTATATACACGATTTGGTTAATTATATGTTGATTTCATCTTGGCAGTTGGCTGAACATATATGGATTTTGTTAATTATATGTTTATTCCTTCTTTGTAGCAGGCTACACCTATCAGGTTGGGTTCTGGTCAAGCTCATCAGATGATAGCTCCACATGCAAAATACTGTGCTACATTTTAACATTTAGCAAGAATAGCATTTAATAAGAACCGCTCAAGAGTCTTGAGACTCTTGTCCTTTCTAACAACTGCCCCGAGACTTTTAA